TTCCACTCTTACCCAAAAGTAGCACATTCATACAACAAGGACATATGTTGAACTATGTTCATAGTAGCACTATTTGTAATAGCCAGAAACTGGAAGCAGCCTAGATGCTCCTCAACCGAAGAATGGGTAGAGAAAATATGGTACATTTACACAATGGAGTACTACTCAGCGGGGGAAAAAACAATGGAATCTTGAAATTTGCAGGAAAATGGATGGAATTAGAAGAAACCATTCTGAGTGAGGTAACCCAATCACAAAAAGAAAACATGATATGTACTCACTCATATGTGGGTTTTAGACAGAGTAAAGAATTACCACCCTGCAATCCACACTGCCAGAGAAGCTAGTAAACAAGGAGGACCCTGAGAGAGACATACATGGTCCCCTGGAGAAGGGGAAAGGGTCAAGAATTCATGAGCAATTTGAGAGCACAGGAAGGGGGCAGAGGGAGCTAAGAGAATGAGAAGGGAAGAAGAGAAAGGATGCAGAGGTCATGAGGGAGCAGAAAGGTTGAGTCAGGGGAAGAATAGAAGAAAGGACATGTGACAGGAAGGGTTTTAGTGAGGGGTGGTAGGGGAGGATGGGGGGAGAAGGGAACTGGGATTGTCATGTAAAACAATCTTGTTTCTAATTCAAATAAAAAAATCTTAAAAAAAGAGATCTCCAAATTCTCATCTCTTCCTTAATTCTAATTTCCAAAGCCAGCATTTACTAAGGGATACAGATATGAGTTTGGTATTGGAATGTGGACACACATTTATTTGTTGATTTTTTCTGCCTTTCTGATTTGAGATAGAAGAGACCCATATACAAAAAGAATTATTTAAAGCAAGTTCATTGCATCTCCTTCTATGCCAGCTGAGATTTCTAAAGATGAAGAAGAGAATAATGTGAGATGCAGGGAGTCTGCAGATGCTATACACATACTTCCTAGAGTAAGAAGCAGAAAGAGGCATGTGCTATGAGAATAAGTACCAGGAGACCCAAATGAAATTGCAGGGTCCCTGGATGAATCTAAAATCCTCATTTATAATGTTTTACTTGTGTGTGAGTGTATGTATGTATGTATGTATATGTGTGTATTTTTGCATATATGTGTGTGTGTGAATATTTGTGAGTGAGTATATTTGTGTGTATTCCTATGTGAGTATTTATGTATGTGTATATTCATATGTGAGTGTGTATGAATATGTGTACATATGAATAGGTGTGTATCTGTTGGTGTAAATGTATATGGGTGTGAACATTTGTGAGTATGTATATAAGTGTGTGTGTGTGTGTGTGTGTGTGCAGGAAGATGTATGCCTTAGTTTCTCTTTTATTGCTGTGAAGAGACACCATGACCAAAGAAACTAATAAAAGGAAGTGTTTCCTTGAGGGCTTGCTCACACTTTTAGAGTGAAGTCCATAACCGTCATGGTAGACAGCATGGCAGCAGGTAGGCAGACACAATGCTGAAGCAGTATCTGGGAGCTCCCATCGTGATTGGCAGACAGCAGACAGAGAGAGATGTGGGGCTTGAGGGAGAAGGACAGGGAGAAGGAGAGATGGGGCTGGTGTGGGCTTTTGATACCTCAAGGCCCACCCTCAGTGACACACCTCCTCAACAAGACCACACTTCCTAATCCTCTCTAAACAGTTCACCAACTGGAAACCAAAAATATTCAAATATAAGAGCTATCAGGGCTTCCTTTATAGGAACCACTACAGTATGTAAAAAAGAAATCAATAGCAACTGTCCATCCCATTTGGTAGTGTATTTTTTATTGTTCCATTTCATCTCCCAGGGGTTAGGGGTTAGGGTTATTTGTGTAACATCTTTCCAATCCTTTGGGTAAGCCAAAGGAATCCTAACTCCCCTCCCCCTTTTTCTACTTGATTATCCACATTGGTATTACTTGTTGGTACAGAAACATATCTCTTCATCCCGATTTAGTTCAAAGCATGGAAACTATTGATGTGCAATTAATTGCTATTCATGGTGGGATGAAACAGAAGCCAACATGATTGAGTCAGTTGTTGCTGGGAGCTGAAGATTTCCTTTCCATTTAATAAAATATGACAAATATGATTTTAATACAAGCCTAGAAACCCTGGTGAAGCCTTTAGTTCTCATGTTTTCAGCATTTTCAGAGCATTCTGTGTTGTGATAAGAGCCTAGAGGAGAGAATTGTGGAGCCACCAGACACACAACCAACCAAGGTTTCTTTTGCACAGGAGGAAGATACCCCTGCTTATGGTATCACTGGAGGGTTGTCTCCAGGGTCCTCAGTGATACAAGTCTTCATGTTCCTTGTCTAAAATGACATTGTATTTTTATATAACCCATGAAATTCTTTTGTACATCTGTTTGCATACTGTGTGTATAGACTTGGACATGTAAGTGTAGAGGCCATAGAAGGACATAAGATAGTGTGTCCTGTTTCTTCACTCTCCTCTTACTCCCCTATGACAGGGTCTCTTGCTGAACTTGGAGCTACGCTGGCTGCCAGCAGGGCCCCTTGGTTCTCCTGTCTCTGCCTCCCTTGGAAGTGGAGTTATAGGTGCATGCGTGACCACACACTTGGCTATTTATGTGTGGTCTCCTGATGATACAAAAGTACAAGTAGGATTTAAAAATCGTGACAGGGTAGACCCCAGTAGGCCCCCATCCAAATAAAGAAGGGGGACATCTCCCACCAACTTTTCCTCCAGGTCTATCTAGATATGTGACCTGTACAAATACAAAATCCAAACCAAATTCCGACAAAAATGAAAGAGGGTAAGTAACATCAAACAGAAGGAATCAGTGAATCTGACTTACCCAACTGGTTAATAAGAAGGTTCGGTCGTCTGAGGTCCAGGGGCCTCTGGAGATCCCAGATGAGTCCCCAAATCATGAAGACCCATATCATGAAGACCCCCAAATCCCACTGGACGAAAGAGTTTCCTGAAATGCAAAAATCAAGGTTTTTATTGTATACAAGCCAGCAGGGACCTCTACTGGCAAAGTGATGCAACAGCTTCCAGAGGGGTATCTTAGAGCATTTAGCTAAGTTCTTTTAAAGGGGAAAATTACAAAAAAAATTATACTTGTGGGTGAGGTCTCTTTTTGATTGGTTGACATTTAGCAGGGTCAGAGGAATTCATATTTTTGGCAGTACAACCTGATATCTTATGTATTTTCATTGGTTGTCATGGGGAGGGATCATTTTTCGCTATTCCCAAAAGTGATCTGGTTTTTTAAAATTCTTTGGAATAGGGTGGAACTGGGTAACTTGGAGGTCAAGGTTGGGCTGCTATACTCTGGTAAAGTTGCTGAGGTTTGATTTTTAACCCTTTCAGTGGCGAACTGGAAATTGGTAAGTGTAGAATACACTAGAATGTTTATCCGTAGGGTACAGGAGGCTGTAGAACTTATTCATTTCTCACCACACACCATTGGGTATTCACGTTGGTGACAGTAGCTTCCCCTCACTTGCAACGTGCAGGGAAGCAAATACAAAGAATTGAAGGGCTGGAGGTATGTGGGTGTGGAGACTGTGCAGAAATGTATGACATGGAGTAAGATGAAACATTGTTTGTTGGGTTTTGTCAACTTGACAATCAAGAGTCATCACTTGAGAAGACAATCTCAGTTGAAGAATTGCCTCTACTAGATTGGCCTCTGGATAAGGCTATGGGACATTTTCTTGATTAATGATTGATGTGGGAGGGTCCACCACTGTGGCCAAGGTCTTCGCTAGTCAGGGGGGACTGGTGGATTGAATAAGAAGGGCCCTCATAGACTCTTACATTTTAATATTTAGCCATCAGGGAGAGGCAGTATCTTCAAGGATTAGAAGTAATCATACAAAACAATAGGATTTATCGATGTTTTCAGGAGTCTTGTGGATATAAACTTAGCTATGGATTCATTAGTCTGAGTTATCTTGGTCAAAAGTCTTTGTGGGATGCCCACACCCCCACACCCATCTGCTGTAGTGACTGACAGGTTCTGTGTTAGAGTGAAGGAAGCCAATATGGGTTTGAGCCTAGCTCAACTCTTTCCAGAAACTCTTCCTGGTTTCCCTGTTTCACACCCCGTTCTCCAAACATTGAGAACTCCCTCAGTCTTTTCATCTTGGAATTCATTTGTCCTCAGTTTTCTCTACTCCCCTCCCTATGAGTCCTTTAGCTCTCCCCAGATCACCATCAATTCCATCTTTCTTGCCTTTATTCTGGTCTTTTCTCTGCCAGTGAATATTGGATTAGTTTAAAAGATGACTTTAGGTGGCTGCAGAGATGGCTAAGTGGTTAGGAGCACTTTCTGCTCTCACAGAGGCCAGTGACTCATAACCACCCCTAACTCCAGCTCTGAGGGACCTGACTTCTCTTGCCTTTGGGTCACCTGTACCCAAATACCAATACCCTGCCCCCATGCATATAATTATGCACAATAAAATGAATTCTGAAACAAGAGATGACTTCCTTTATCATCATTAGTGAGATCAAACCTAATTTCCCCTGATTCAGAGTCTATGTTTGTGTCCCATATAGATCAGTGTATTCTATCTGCCCATAAGTCTCAAGACCTGTCACTCCTTTCCTAATTCTTTGTTTCCTCAAACTTCACCCCTCCCCCAGATAGTCTAACACTTTGTGGCCCTTCTCCAGCTGTTTGCATGTTGCCTCCCTCACCCCCATCTCCAGTTCCTTCTCCCAGAAGACAGGCCGTGCCCCCCAATGGTGTTCCATTTTTAGCCTATTGTGACACTAGATGCACTGTTCACATCCTCAGCTGATTAAGTTTCCTCCCTTGCTGTCCCATCCACCAGATTCACCCCATTTATTTTCATCCAACAACACATCATGTTCACAAATTTTTATTTTTTTTGAGCAAAACCAATTACACTGGAAAAATACCAGGGTTTTCAGTGTCCCTTAGGTATCTGACACTGTGAAAAAACACCAGACATCCCCACTCCCCCCACAATTCTATACTTTATAGGTCTGCCTCCCCATTCTTGGTGAATTTTGCTTTAATAGATCATTTTCACCAAATCATAGACATATATATGGGTGTCATCATCAAACTTGATGAAATGGATGGAAGGTGTGTCTGGAACTTGGTAAATGATCTTGCCCATCCTTATGGTTCCATCACCTTGGGTGTACTCCACAGAGTTACCTGTCAAGGCATCAGTGCCTACTTCTGACTTCATCTCTGTTGTAAGAGAATCAGTTATGATGTGGAGGTTACCATCAATGTAATCATCCAGGAGCTGATAAATGTACAAGACTGGATCTTTCTTGTAGGTTATGTAATACCAGGTCTTCATGATGGGCACCTGGGCCAGGACCATCCCCTTCCACTCATCCTTACAGCCATTTTTGCCCTCAAATTTGTGCTCCACTGCTTTGCCAACTATGGTGTTTTCAAGGTTGATATCTGTCACTTGAGGAAATGACACTTTTTTAGGCATGATCTTAAGTTTTGAAATCCTTTTGTCGCTTTGGAGCTCCAGGCCATAGACACAATCAATCCCATCGTACTTCATCAAATAGAGAGAGGAATTTGTTGGCAGTTGGTCTAGGACGATGCCCTTCCATTGGGCGACTGGCTCATTACCTTCTTTCCATTCGTGAGAAATTCTGCAGCCAATAATATTAGTGAGGGCCTGGGAAGGCCTGGCCCTTTTTTGCTTCTGGAGAGAGGGCATGCCCTTCTTACTCAGAGACATCAAAGTCATGGAAGTAGACCTAGTGCGGTAGGCCACAGCACTCCTGGTCCTCTGTCTTGTGGCTATCTTTCTGTGCTTGGGCTTCATACTTGCCCACCGTGTGGGTTGAAGAACCCGCCTGCTTACACCAGACACAATGCAGTGCATCTGCCATATGAGTGCCTGCAAGAACGAGAAGGGGAGGATGCTGGGCCAAGACTCTCATCTGGGAGAACGTCCAGGCAAATGAAGAGGGCAGGGCTAAACAGGTTCTGTCATAATAAATTAATAGGGAAATTAACAAATGATTCTCCACAGCTCAGAATAACAATCTCAGAGACAAGTTCCTTCTGCTTGGAGGCAGTTTGCCTCTGCTGAGGAACCTCTCCCTGACTGCTTATGTCATTGGGCAGGGGAGGTGGTATGCCTGTCTCCGAAGTGAGTAATTGGAACCAGAGCGGCATCACAATGGAACAAGAAGGGTGGCCACACCTCTCCTTTACCCTCAAGCCATGATCTAGGTGGCTGCTCCCCTGCCCCCACTCCTGCCACATACCTAGGGATGTGACCCTCCTGTCCACTGGACGTCTGTATTGTGTCTCCTGATCTGAACTCTGATCTGAGTTTCCCATTACAGAAGTGAGTACTGTGAGCCCTAGTGCAGTGAGAGAATCCAGGCAACAGTAGCCATTTAGAAATAATTAGTACCTTCTAAAACACGTACGGACATAGTGGAATGATGAATTTGATATTGTTATTAACTTGGAAGAATGGCCAGCCTAGACCATCCCCGTAGCTACCAAACATGGGAGGCAGTAACAACATACAAGGTAGAGTCACACACAAGAGGGAAAACCAATCATTTTCTGGTACTACAGAGGTCCCAGTTACTACATAAGCATATTTACCCAAAGGGAGTGTCCTAGTTGTCCATATTCTGACTCCTGAAAACGATCAGGCGCCAAAAGCCAGCTGAACAGTTGCGAGTTCAGGAGCTGAACTACTTCCTTGGACCACCACGAAGATAGTGAACCCACCTTCGAGCGAGTCTAACGCCCTTAGTGATGCACATGCGCAAACCCCGCCCACTGCTCTGTGACATTACCGAAGCTTTGCTTACTTCATAGAACCACTCATAGGTCAATTTCTTCCCTAGCTACACACAGAAACGTCCAGCATCCAGGCCCTAGAAAGCTTCTCATATAGCTGCCTGGAGGGAGACCCAAGATAAAGTCCCCACCCAACTGTTCTGATGACTTACTTGAGTCACATTCTTTCCTATCAGCTGTTTTTTTTTTTTTTTTTACATTCTTTCCTATCAGCTCATTCCCTGTTTTTTTTTTTTTTTTTTTTTTTTTCATTCTGAAAAAGTTTCTGTTTTGTGAGCCACCAAGGCAGTAGTTCGGGGTTATTTTCCTTGTCCCCATCTTTTCCTTGGTTATCTTTAAGCCGTTCTCTATATCACAAATGTTGTCAACCTCTCCGAGGCAGCCCACTGGATACTACACCAAAATTAGCTTTATCAATTAGAGGAGGGCCATTTTTATTCAAACAAAGCTGGAGTTTGACAGGATTGAATACCTTGTATTGAAGTTAACAGCAATAATAAATTATGGATCCTTTGCAAAGACTGAGGAAAAATTAGGTCCTGGGCCTGCCTCCAAAGTTGGGGTAAACATATGACAAATCAGTTATTTATCATTCATATATTAAAGGCCTTTAAAATTCACCAGAACTTCTGGTTACAAGGAATTTATTAGATCAAATGCAGTAAAACAGGATGAAATAGATGAGGTAATTTCATTTATGAAATATGGGAAGACAGAATAGTGGGTATTGGTAAATATGAAATTTACTTGCAAATTATAGTGGGCACTTTAATGGTTCTTGTCACATTGTTCATCAGAAGTTCAAATGGATCCTTCCCAGTGTCATCCTCTGTCCCCACTACACCCTGTCCATACTCTGCTTCTTCCCAAATAATTCCTTTCTACTTTAATGTCTTAATTTTTAAAAATATGCATATTCAGACTTCACCAACTTAGGGCAACTTTTAGTCTGGCCACTTTTCTGAGGATAGTATCTTCTATTCTTCAGTTTATCTCTGTTCTAAGCATGTTTCCCCTCATATGTTTTACATTTTGTCTGCCCTTCTGTGGCCACCTGCCATTTTGTGACTGTTGGTTGACCATGTGGCTGACCTCAATGTGGTTTTAACTCAAATGTCATTTTTT